CAAGGCCATTCGCCTACTGTTTCTTTTTTCTTCTTTCTCAGCAGTATAAAAAAATAAATATACATTTTAATTAAATATATATTTACATATTGGGGCCCCTGCTTCTACTTTATGCAGCTAAAGAGGATTTAGGGGGCCCACACGGGGCCTCGATACTAAGCCAAGAGACCACACTAAACCCTAAACCCTAAACCCTAAACCCTAAACCCTGAAGACTTCACCCTGTGTTAGCTTAGAAGAGAGATTTATAAGGAGTTTACTTGGAGGCTCATATGGTTTAGGGTTTAGGGTTTAGGGTTTAGGGTCTAGGATATACTGATGGCCTTAAACCCTAAGCCCTAAACCCTAACCCACGCAAGAGAGAGGGTTGTCGAGCTTCAAGGGTTTAGAGTTAGGGTTTAGGGTTTAGGGTTTAGGGTTATAGTGGACGACGCTATGAAAAAAAAAGGGTTTACGGTCTAGGGTTTAGGGTCTAGGGTGAGGCTGCAGCTCAGCATACACCCGAGAAGAGCCACAGCTGCAGCATCTCCTGCCTGCTGTATTAGGCCTCCCACTCTAAACCCTAAACCCTAAACCCTAAACCCTAAACCCCAAACCTTGAAACCCAGACAAAACAAATACAACAAGGGTTTGTACTGCTGAGTTCATCATCAATATCTGCTGCTGCTGCTGCTGCTGCTGCTGCACAAAGCAACCCAAACAAACACAAAAAACAATACGAAATATATCCTGGAGATATCCGCATGCGATGGGGTGTATGAACACCTCAAGCAGCGGCAATAGAAACCCTGCAGGGGCCCCCCAAACAAGCTGCAAGCCCCCCTGCCTCTGGGGGGCCCCCCGCCGCAGCAGCTCCAGCAAAGCCAGCACCGGGGATGGAGGAGCCAATGCCGTCTGCTGCTACTGCAGCAGCAGCGGCAGAACAAGCAGCAGCAACTGCTGCTGCTGCACCAGCTTCTTCGGGATTAGGAGAGAGCTGTGAGGACGCTGCTGCTGCAGCTGCTGCTGCTTCTCCTGATGCTGCAGTGCATCGTCTCTCAGAGGCGGAGGAGATGGAGCAGCAGCAGGAGACAGAATATGGCGCTAGAGGCAGCAGCAGCAGCAGCAGCAGCAAGCACAAGGCACAGCTGCAGCTGCAGCTGAAGCTGAACCCGGGGGGGGCAGCAGAGGAGAGGGAGGGTGTAGGAGCTCTATCGAGCGGCAGCAGCCGTTGTAGGAGCAGCAGGAGCAGCAGCAACAACAGCAGCAACAACAGCAGCAACAACAGCGGCAGCAGCAACAGCAGTGAAGGACTGCAGCAGCAGCAAGAGTTGTCTGCTGTTGCAGAGTTTCATCTACAGCTGCTGGATACAAAGCCTGATAGTAAGGGCGCGCTGCTGCTGCGCTCGCAGCTGCTGCGGCGTTCTTTAGCTTCGATTCAGCAGCAGCAACGAGACCTGTACGTGCTACTGCTGCTGCTGCTCATCCTGTTGCTGATGCTGCTGCTGCTGGCGCTGCTGTTGCTGCTGCTGCTGCTGCTGCTGCTGCTGTTGCAAGGCAGCAGCAACGATGCGGCTCCTCCAGCTGCTTCCGTTGTTTCTCTACTAACAGCTCTCCTTGTTGTCTTTGCTGCTGCTGCTGGAACTACAACGGCTACTGCTGCTACTGCTGCTGCTGCTGCTGCTGCTAGTGTTGCTGCTGCAGCTACTGCTGCCGCTACTCCGGCTGCTGCTACTGCTACTGCTGCTACTGCTACTGGTGCAACTAGTGCTGCTGCTCCTACTGCTGGTGCTGCTAATGCTGCTGCTGCAGCTACTGCTTCTCCTGCCGTTCCTGGTGCTGCGGCTGCTACTGCTGTTGCTGCTGCTGCTGCTGCTGCTGCTGTTTATATATAGGGCTTTGTTAGGTGCTGATGCCTCAAGCGAGAAGGGGGTGTTTTGTCTTACTAACCCGGCGGGGGGAGACAGCGATGTGTTTATTCCTCTTTTTCTTTCTTCTTATTTCAAAGAAGAAATGCAGAAAGCAACGCAGAGCAGCACAGACACGTCAAAGCAGCAGCAGCAACGACATCACCAAAGACAGCAGCAGCTGCAGCAGCTGCTGCAGCAGCAGCAACAGCAGCAGAAACAGCAGCAGCAGCAGCAGCAGCAGCCTGGGTCTGTTGATGCTATAAAAGATTCAAATATCGCTCGCTTCGATTGGAGCCAAGGATACTCCCCCCGATCAAAACAGCAAACTAGAAACAGTCAGCATACATGCTGCTGCTGTTGCTGCTGCTGCTGCTGTTGCTGCTGCTGTTGCTGCTGTTGCTGCTGCTGTTGCTGCTGCTGCTGCTGTTGTTGCTGCTGCTGCTGCTGTTGCTGGTGCTGCTGCTGTTGCTGCTGCTTCTGCTGCTGTTGCTGCTGCTGCATCTGTTGTTGTTGTTTCTGCTGTTGCTGCTGATGCTTGTGCTGGCGTTGCTAGTGGAACGGGGCGGCAGCTGGTGCGCTCTCTGCATAGATGCACCAAAGAGGGTTTCTGTTCCTGTTGCTGCTGCTGTTGCTGCTGCTGTTGCTGTTGTTGCTGCTGCTGGTGTTGTTGTTGCTATTGGATATTGTGTTGTGTTTGTTGCTGCAGAGCAGCAGGAGACGAACCGGATGGTGCGTGAGCTGCTGCTGCGGGAGCAGCAGCAACTGCTGCAGATGGGGGGGTTCCTGCAGCAGCAGGAGGTGCAGCAGCAACTCGATGAGCTGCAGCAGGTGCTGCAAGGGTGGGATAAAGTTGAAGCTTATGATGCCCAGATAGAAGAAACAGAGAGAAGACTAGAAAAGCTAGAAGCAGCGATTGCTGCTACAAGGCAGCAACTCAGGTGCTGCTGCTACTACCGCTGTTGCTGCTGGTGCTGCTGTTGCTGCTGTTCCTGCTGTTGCTGCTGCTGTTGCTGCTGTTGCTGTAGCTGCTGTTGCTGTTGCTGCTGTTGCTGCTTCTGTGTTTGTTGCTCTTGCTGCTGTTGCTGCTGCTGCTGCTGCTGCTACGACAGCTGACAGAAGCAGGCCTTGCAGAGCCATCAAAAAAAATAAGGATTGCTGCAGTTGCTGCACTTGTTGCTGCTGTTGCTGTTGTTGCACTTATTGCCGTTGTTGTTGTTGCTGCTGCTGCTGTTGCTGCTGTTGCTGCTGCTGCTGCTGTTGGTGCAGAATGGGCTTCATTGGGTGCTCCCCAGACTCAGAGTCTGCTGAGGCTGAGGCTGACGCCACTGCAGCAGCAGCAGCAGCAGCAGCAGAAGCAACAGAAGCAGCAGTACCTGGAGGAGAGAAAGAACAACACCAACAAGAGCAGGAGCAGCAGCAGGAACAGCAGCAGCAGCTTGCTGCCCCGTTGCAGCAGATGCTGCCCCCTGATATGGAGCTGCTGCTGTCGGGGGACACGCTGTGCTGCGGGTCCCCTGAGTTGCTGCTGCAGCAGCTAA